AGGTCCCTTCCGACCCTAGAAACTATGAAACTATATTGTTTTTTCCCAGCACAAGAAGTTTGAGACAATAATAGTGATCATGTTTTAAGGATATGTTTTTGTGGATTGTCCAAACAATCATAACTCAGTGCACAATTGTATACAGGATTCATCTCCTAAATGCTAAAAAGTTTTATGCTTATCAAAAATATTCTGGGAGGAGAGAAAATATTTAAAGAAGAAAAAATAATGAAGGTACAGGAAATAAGCATCTTTCTGCACCTTGTGTTGCATCAGCTATTCTTCGTACATTTTGTAACAGTTCAGAGGTGGGTTGTCTGTGCTTTGAAAATTTTTCAAAAATATTTTACTTAAATGTGACATGTTGGAAGTAATCCACTGTATTTCATAAAAAAATAAATTTATTTTGTTTGGAACGTCTGTAATGCATCCTTCTGGAGTGTTGTACCATAATTTTTGGGGTTTTTTTAATGTTTTGAAACCTTTGAAAAGACCTTTTTAACTTGAAATACCTTTCAGAAATGACTAGAAGCCATTGTTGTACATATGTGTTGCTGCTGCCCCCTTAAAATAATACTTTTGAAAAACACTTAAAATGCTTTGCTTTAAAGTTTTATGCTTTGAAAAGGGGAGAGTTAAGCTCAGTTGTTATTAACTGCATGAGTCATTAGAATTGGGAACAGAAATACTTCTCATAATCTTTGGAAAGAACATTGTTTTTCTGCATAGTGTAAACCTGACAAAACACAAAGCACCAGTTTAATAAACTAGTTGTACTGCTTGTACATGAGAGAATCAAGTATGTGAACCTGAATTATATAAGCAAAATCAGTATTAGTTTTTGGACATGTGTACTTTTAAAACTTTGGCTGAAGCATTATAATATCAGGTCAAGACTAGAAGCCAGGATGTATCGTTAATAACTTTTTAATAACATTTTGTAGAAAAGGAGTCAGAATTGCCAACTTTCAATTGTTGGACAACTATGTATTGATGGCACAGCATAATCCATTTTGCTTGCCTAACTTTTAATAGCAAGGTGAAGTGTTTGAAAAAAATAGAATTATTAAAACAAACCAATTGGATCACTCAGTTGAGAGAAGAGAATAATGTGTTGCAAAATGACAGGTAAGACATTTAACTCCACTGAATATTATCACCATAACTTTTATTGCTATTAAATTTTATAAATTATTACAACATAAATGTCCCGGGTTGTGAAGATTCAGGTAATTCTTGTGTAAATCTCCTGTATGTTTAAAGCAGAGATTGAAGGAGGACTGATAGGAAATAAAAGTCTTTAGCATTCTATTAAATTAATTGTGGGCTCACTTATGAACTCCTTATTTTGATGGAGTTTTGCATGAGTAAAAAGTAGTAGAACAAAACAGTTCTTAGCCTGACAGATTGCATGCACATTCCTTTTACAAAACAAAATCAAGAAAAAAGATTTTTATGTAGGGAAATCTGTTGTGGATACAGGAGATTGACTAATTCTCCTGAATCTCAGTAAACCATTTTAAGTTGCCAGGACCTGCTTGCAGCTTCAGGGTTGGTAACTCTGAAGCAGTTTTAGGTTTCCTGATTACTCCATTCCTACCAATTCTACATTACTGTTATGCACAGGCTTGTGTTCCTTTCTCCACAATAGAACCATACCTGTTTTACTGTATTTTCATTTCCTTTGTGCCAACTGAAAGGGAATCGGACAACTTCCAGTGTTGCCAACTCCAAATGTTAATGATAAGATCTTTAAAAAGTAATGGGTTTTGTTTTTTTATTTGCTTTTGAATATTTGAACCAATAGAGTTATTGCTTTCAAGGATTTTTTTTGTTATAATGAAAGGTAGGAGCCATTTTTAATGCTGTGATTTTTGCATAAAGATATTTAATTTTTAGGGTGGAATAACCCAGGTTTCTCTACTATCTACCCACTGATCCAGAAAATCTTATAACTGCACAGATATTCAGGCAAGTTGGAGTTGAAGTAGATTAATTACCTAAAAAGTTAAAGGAATGTGTATTAATGTGAGTTTCAAAGTATTTAGTATAGTAAAACTCAGGTTGTGCCAATAGTAACTCAAGGTACTTTAAGCAGGTTCTTAGCAGTTGCTCTTGCAATTTCCATTACAATCCACATTTAATTAGATGGGCCTTTTTTGATCAGATTGACATGCACATTGTTTAACACATTGATCTTTCTTCTACTATACTGCTGTCAAATGATCTAGAGCAGGGATGCTCGACCTCTGGCCTGTGGGCCAAATGTGGTCTGCAGAGCCATAGGTATCTGACCTGTGGGGCTTCCCATGGATTGAGAAATTTGTGGCAGGAAAGTAGTGACAATAAATATGGCCACCTTCCCCCGATTGCCAAATTCCCAAACTCCGAGCCCCATGTAGCAGGTTGGGGCCAAGTCATGCCCCGCTTCTTCCATTCCGCAGCTGGATGAGGCTGGACTACGCCCCCTTCCCCAACAGTTCCGCTTTGGGGCTGGGCTGTCCCCTCTCACTTGCTTCCCCCCCCCCCCCCCCCCCCC